GTGCGCAGAGTCCTCCAACATGGAGGAGCCGCTGCGGCGAGGCCGCCATGGGGCTTCACCGCGGCGTATCCTCCCACGGGGGTGAAGCAGCTGGGGAGATGGGGCAGGCAAACCCCGGGTGCACCGGGCAGGCAGGGACAGGGAGTGGGGACTGCTCCCAGTCTGCCCCAGGGGCGCGCCCCCCCCCCAGCCACGTCCCCGGGGAGTGCCGGGACCCCCCCACTGCGCTTTGCCGAACAGACCCCTCTAAATGGCTGCAGCTCCCGGGGCCAGGTGAGGGTCGGGGATGGGTGACCAAGGGCAGGTGTCACCGAGTTGGGTGCTTGCTCTCTAACGAAGCCCACATCTAATTAGAAACCGCTCTCTCCCCCCCGCCCCCGGCCAGTGGCGCTGCCCAGGCACTCGGGGAGGATGCGGCAGAGGTCGAGACCCCCAAACCGCTCCTCAAAACCTATGGGGTTTGCAGCTCGCCGCGGCCCTCCTGCCACGGGGACGGGCAGTGCCGGAGGGGGAGAAGCAGCCGGAGAGCAAGTGGCCATTTTGTGCCTTTTGGACATCTTAGCCCCTGCCTGCCAGCATTGCAGTTAAACTGTCCGGGGGTGCGATGCCCGCGGTACCCAGCGCTGGTTGCAGACGCTGCCCTCGGCCTCCTGTCCCCTCTGCAAGGGCAGGCGTGAGCCATGGCACTCCCGGCATGCCGGGAAGCCCGCGGTGCTGGCCCAGCCCGAGCGGGGACGGCTCAGGCACTGTTTAGGGGCTCCTTGCAAATGTTCTCCTGCACCCTGAGCGTTGCCGAGATGTTGCGAGGTAAAAAGGCAGGACAGGCACAGTTTGCTACGGGCAGAAAACAGGCAGGGCGCGGGGCCGGTGTGGTCCTGCACCGCGTGTGCCGGAGCGTTTCTGCGGGCGGGTGGTGGCAAAGATGCGGGTGCTGTGGGAGCCGAAGGGATGTGCAGGCAGGGCACCACGCAGGCAGCTGCCCAGGGCTGGGGGAGCGGGGGGACGCACCCCCGGGAGCGCACCCGCGAGGTGAGCCCTCGCCCTGCGTTGCAGCTCCTTGCGCGGATCGAGCGCATGGAAAGGCGGGTGCAGCTGGTGAAGAAGGACAGCGAGCGGGAGAAGCACCGCATCTTCCAGGGCTTCGAGGTAGACGAGAAGCCGGAGGCGGAGGCGTGCGAGAAGCTGCCGCTGGAGTGTCCCCCGGACCTGCTCGAGACC